GGCAACATTCTGGTGCCTTCGGTGGAGCTCCCTATGGGGCCACGAAACGTGTGAGGGGTGTACCGAAATGCATGTGCGGGACGCATGCGGGCGGCAGCACTGGGGCCTTCGGCGGAACTCCCTTTGGGGCCGCGAAACGTGTGAGGGGTGTGCCGGCTTGGGTGTGGGTGACGCATGCGGGCGGCAGCACTGGGGCCTTCGGCGGAGCTCCCTATGGGGCCACGAAACGTGTGAGGGGTGTGCCCAATTGTGTGTGGGTGACGCATGCGGGCTGCAGCACTGGGGCCTTCGGCGGAGCTCCCTATGGGGCCACGAAACGTGTGAGGGGTGTGCCGAATTGGGTGTGCGTGACGCATGCGGGCGGCAGCACTGGGGCCTTCGGCGGAGCTCCTATGGGGCCACGAAACGTGTGAGGGGTGTGCCGAATTGGGTGTGGTGACGCATGCGGGCGGCAGCACTGGGGCCTTCGGCGGAGCTCCTATGGGGCCACGAAACGTGTGAGGGGTGTGCCGAATTGGGTGTGGTGACGCATGCGGGCGGCAGCACTGGGGCCTTCGGCGGAGCTCCCTATGGGGCCACGAAACGTGTGAGGGGTGTGCCGAATTGGGTGTGGGTGACGCATGCGGGCGGCAGCACTGGGGCCTTCGGCGGAGCTCCCTATGGGGCCACGAAACGTGTGTGGGGTGTGCCGAATTGTGTGCGGGTGTGCACTGGGGCCTTGTGCACGGCGTGTGGTGTGCACAGCACTGGGCCTTCGGCGGAGCTATGGGGCCACGAACGTGTGAGGGGTGTGCCGAATTGGGTGTGGTGACGCATGCGGGCGGCAGCACTGGGGCCTTCGGCGGAGCTCCTATGGGGCCACGAAACGTGTGAGGGGTGTGCCGAATTGTGTGTGGGTGACGCATGCGGGCGGCAGCACTGGGGCCTTCGGCGGAGCTCCTATGGGGCCACGAAACGTGTGAGGGGTGTGCCGAATTGGGTGTGTGACGCATGTGCACTGGGGCCTTCGCATGGGGCCACGAAACGTGTGCGACGCATGCGGGCGGCTGGGGCCTTCGGCGGAGCTCCCTATGGGGCCACGAAACGTGTGAGGGGTGTGCCGAATTGGGTGTGCGTGACGCATGCGGGCGGCAGCACTGGGGCCTTCGGCGGAGCTCCTATGGGGCCACGAAACGTGTGAGGGGTGTGCCGAATTGGGTGTGGGTGACGCATGCGGGCGGCAGCACTGGGGCCTTCGGCGGAGCTCCTATGGGGCCACGAAACGTGTGAGGGGTGTGCCGAATTGGGTGTGGTGACGCATGCGGGCGGCAGCACTGGGGCCTTCGGCGGAGCTCCCTATGGGGCCACGAAACGTGTGAGGGGTGTGCCGAATTGGGTGTGGGTGACGCATGCGGGCGGCAGCACTGGGGCCTTCGGCGGAGCTCCCTATGGGGCCACGAAAAGGGGTGTGCCGAATTGGGTGTGGGTGACGCATGCGGGCGGCAGCACTGGGGCCTTCGGCGGAGCTCCCTGGGGCCACGAAAGTGTGTGAGGGGTGTGACGAATTGTGTGTGGGTGACGCATGCGGGCGGCAGCACTGGGGCCTTCGGCGGAGCTCCTATGGGGCCACGAAACGTGTGAGGGATGTGCCGAATTGGGTGTGGGTGACGCATGCGGGCGGCAGCACTGAGGCCTTCGGCGGAGCTCCTATGGGGCCACGGACGTGTGAGGGGTGTGCCGAATTGGGTGTGGGTGACGCATGCGGGCGGCAGCACTGGGGCCTTCGGCGGAGCTCCTATGGGGCTACGAAACGCTGTACTGGGTGGGTGAAATGCAGGGAAGAGGGGGAGGATGGAGGAGGAGGGGGAGGAGGAGGAGGAGGAGGAGAGTAGAAGGAGGAGAGGATACGCGGGCCACCGTCTCTTCAAAACGAGGACCCAACACCACAGGATGGTTGGGAAATATTGGAAATACTGGGAATCCTGGGATGTTTGACTATTTTTTTGTGTGTTCAAGGGCCCCTTTCGACATAGCGACCTTACTCGGTGGCTCACGCGGGTCGCCAGCGCGGCATACAATAGTGGAGACGAGGGCGCTTGCGCGCGAGCTTACGCGGGCTGCTTACGCGCCAATGTCGGCGAAAACGACCCCGCTGATTTCTGGGTCGCCCATATGCATCCATGAAACTCCTGACCCACAAGTAGAAGAAGAAAAAACGCCAGGAACAGAAGTGTTTGGCACTCCGACCGGATTTCTTGGATCCGCCCCCGGCCCCTCTCCCTGGCGCGCAGAGCGCGCCAGTGGCGGCACCGGAGGCGCCGTCAGGGGGGGGACCCAGGGAGGATCCAAGAAATCCGCGCGGAGCGCCAACAGTTTCTGTTCATGATTAATTTTCTTCGAGACCCACCAGATCACATCCAAAATCGTCGCCAGCACTCGCTGCTTCTGTTGGCGGCGCGCACAGAGGGGGTAGGGGGAGGGGGGAAGGCTTCTCAGGAGGAGGCTGCTCTGAGAAGGCGCAAGCCCTGCATCTACAGACAAGGCCCGCGCCCTCTAAGAAGCAGGGGTGCTTCTGAGAAGCCGTCCCACCTCCCCCTATCCCCCTTCTGCGCGTGGCTGATTCTGAGGTCGGCGGATTCGCGTAGGCCACTTGAATACAACATGACATCGCAAAAGAAGTCAGCACCGAGTCCTGGGACCCCATCGTGCTGCGTCCTGTCTCGAGCCTGGAAGATCCGTGAGGTTCCTGGGACGCAGAGCTGGGAAAAAACGCAACGCCAGGATCGCTGGGAAGGTATAGTGGGAACTTCTGGGGCCGGAAAAAATGCACCGTTGAATAGGCTCAGGGAAAAACACACAAATAATCAGACACGAATCGTAGGATTCCCCACATGTTCCATATCTTACGAATTGTCAGATTCCCCCACTTCCCGCAATTTCCATATGTTGCTTGAAATAGACGTTTGGTGTCTGTGTGCGGGGAAACGGTACCGATACTGCTACTGCCTGAAACTCGCATGGGGTGCGTTCTGACTAGAATTTCGATGTGAATCCAGCGGTGGCGACGAGAGCCTCCGAGGAGGCACAAAAAAGGAAAACGAGGAAAGGGTAAAGGTATGGGTACCTCTTCCTCCTCTGAATGTGTCTGTTCCTCCTGAAGCGTCGGGTGTCAGGATGGCTCGTTGGGGTCGCTGCCGCAGCGCCAGCCGGGCTGCAGCCCCAAGGGGCGGCCGCGGCTTTCGCTGCGTCGTGGCGGAGCCGAGACATGCAGGAGGACAGGGCGGGCCTGGAGTATCATGCAGCATCGCTGACGCAGCTTGACGGGGAAGGGGCGGGAGGGTAAGGCAGAGGGAAGGAAGGATGGGGGGGAAGAGTCAGGAGATTAGGGTCTCCTCCTCCTCCTCCTCCTCCTCCACCTCCTCCTCCACCTCCTCCTCCTCCTCCTCCTCCTCCTCCATCTCATCCTCCTCCTCCTCATCCTCCTTGTCCTCCTCCTCGTGAGTTCGTCTTCGCGGCTGCTTCTCCCCTGCCGAGATACTTGCCCGCGAGAATGACGCAGGGGTGGGGGCAGAACATCGCAAGAAACGCCCAGGCAGGGAGGGCACACTCGGACCAGACTGTCGACCAGCATCTGGCTCCAGGACGAGCAGCGGTACTGCAGGTTCGTGTCGTGTCGACCCTGGCGTTGGTTCCTGACACTGCGCGGATCGTTCAACCTTGAACGATCGGCCGCTGCCGAAACGTAAGATCGTTCAACACCGACCGACTCTGGGTCGCCGACGCTGGGGTCGCCGACGGTCGAACCGACACGAACCTATACAGAATCGGCACCCGCTCCGCCTCGCCTGTCGTTTGTGGACGATCCCGGAGCCCGGCGAGGGCCCTTGCGAAGGCCGAAAACCACCTGCACACGACAAACAAACACTCCCTGGCCATCGCTCGGACGATCATTTCATGTGTTTTTCTCGGTTTTGTGCGCGGTTTTTCGCCAAATGATCAAGGATGCTCCTCGATGGCCCTCGCCAAGAAAAAAGCATGCACACGTCCGAGCGATGCCAAGAACACGCCCGCCGTGGCTTCTTCAAGACGCGAGCACGTCGGTCTTCGAGCCACACCTCGGGCCTCCGAGGAGGCCGGGCGGGCGAGGGCCCCCGCGAGGGCCGGAAACCGCTGGCGCACGACAGACAGACACGCCCGCCGTGGCTTCTTCTGAGACGCGAGCACGTCGGTCTTCGAGCCACACCTCTGAGGACAGCACAGCCCACCCCCAGCCCCACCCAGGGCACCCACCTCCGACCTGGTGATCCAGGGTGCCCTGGGTGGGGGTGGGGGTGGGTTTTTGGGCCCCGCGGCTCTCACAACCGACCCGCACCCCCACCCCCACCCAGGGCACCACGGATCACCAGGTCGGAGGTGGGTGCCCTGGGTGGGGGTGGGGGTGGGTTGTGCTGTCCTCAACCTCGGGCCTCCTATCAGGCCGGGCGGGACGATGCGGGCATCCCCGGGAGAGCCCTCTCGGCGAGGCGCCGCGCTGCTGGCAGGGAGTCCCGAGGCTGGAAGCCCTCCAGAGGTGTGCGAGGATTGCCCAGCACCTCCCGCCGTGGCTTTTCTCACGACGCGCGCACGTCTGCAAAGCAGGGATTGACCGTCCCAGCAATCCTGCTGGTCTGCCACCAAATTCTTAAGCCGCAAAAATATCCGCAAAACAAAAAACACTGCCCTTGTAACATAAGCCCGCCAGAAATGTTCGAAGAACACTTCGTGCAGACCGCTAACGGTTCTTTGGACATGTTTTGGTGAGCCTACAGGCAAGCCAGGACGCTTCGCCACTGCTTGAGAATGGGGATGCGCTCGCCACGCGCGAGCCCCTGCGGCGGCGCGGCCGCCGCCAGTTGCGCGGTCGCGGTCGGGGGCGCCGAAGGCGGCGGATGGGGAGGACGAGAAGAAAAGGAGGAGGAAGAGGAGGAGGAGGATGAGGAGGAGGACGAGAAGGCGATGCGCGGTGGCTGCGGCGGCGACGCCGGCGGGGGCGCCACGCTCGCGGGATGTGGCGCCTCGGCCGCGCGGCCGCCTGCCGCGCCGGAGCGGATGACCCGCAGCTCGATCTCGCCCTGCGCCTGGCCGAGCGCCTCGCGGCGCGCAGGGTCGTCGCTGTCGTCGTCGTCGTCGTCGTCGTCGTCGTCGCGCAGCCGTTGTGGCCCAGGCCCCGCGCCGCGGCCTGCTGGGGGGCCTCGCCTCCCTATGCGCGGTGGTTGCGAGCGGTCGCGTAGCCTCTTCCAACCTGGGGGTCGTCGTCCAGGGTGGGCGACACCGGCCGTAAGGCCTTAGCAATCTCTCCTTCTCTTTCTCTTTCTCTTATTCTCTCCTTCTCTCTCTGTTATTTTTTTTTTTCTCTCTCTCTCTCTCTCTCTCTCTCTCTCCCTCTATCGATATATACATACACATATGCTCGCCGCCCCCCAGCGCACCACAGTGCACCTTCGATTCCCGCCCGTCGTTTCGCTCACTGTCTCCCCCTCCTCCACCTCATGCTCTTCTCCTCCTCCAGCGAGGAATGCAGCCTCGGGCTGAGGGCGCTGGCCGTGGTACGGTGGAGGTGGAGGGCGCTTCGGTGCCAGACGACATGACCTCCATGAGAGTAATTAGGGTTGGTCTGAATACTGTTGGTCGTATTGATGTTATTGCTGGTCAGAGGAATCGCAGTCATTGTAGTATCAACATGGTTGCCAATAGTGACAGTATTACTCGTGCTAGAAGTATCATTGTTACTGTTACGCTCTTGATTGTGAAGAATTAGCAGTAGGAGTAGTAGAAGTAGAAGTAGAAGTCGTCGTAGTCGTAATTCGTAGTAGTGGTCGTCGTCGTAATAATAGTAGTAGCGGTATTAATAATAATAGTCGCCGTCGTAGTAGTCGTAGTAGTAGTAGTAGTAGTAGTAGTAGTAGTAGTAGGTGGTAGTAGTAGTAGAAATAGTAGTAGTCGTCGTCGTAATCGTAGTAGTGGTAGTAGTAGTAGCAGCAGTAATAGTAGTAGTAGTAGTAGTAGTAGTCGTCGTAGTAGTAGTAGTAGTAGTAGTAGTAGTAGTAGTAGTAGTAGTAGTAGTAGAATTAGTAGTAGTAGTAGTAGTAGTAATATACAGAGTCGTAGTAGTAGTAGTAGTAGTAATAGCAATAGAAGTCGTCGAACTAATAATAGTAGTAACAATCGTAGTAGCGGTTGTGATAGTAAACGTAGTCGCAGTCGCAACCGTAGTCGCAGTAGTAATAGTCGTAGTAGTAGACGTTGCAGTAGGAGTAGTAGTAGTAGTAGTAGTAGTAGTCGTAGTAGTAGTAGTAGTAGTAGTAGCAGTAGTGCTGGAAGTAGTAGTAGTAGTAGCAGCAGTCGTAGTAGTAGTAGGCGTAGTGGTAGTGGTAGTGGTAGTGGTAGTGGTAGTGGTAGTGGTAGTGGTAGTGGTAATAGTAGTAATAGTAGTAGTAGTAGTAGTAGTAGTAGTAGTAGTAGTAGTAGTAGTAGTAGTATCAGTAGAAGTATCAGTGGTAGTAGTAGAAGTAGAAGTATAAGTAGTAGTAGTAGTAGCCATCGATATGTTTACCCACCTCTTTATCGATCTGACCTTATCGATATCACAATATGTCCATCGACCTCATAATCGATCCAATTATAGGTTGCACGAGCGATCTCACGAGCGACCTCACGATCGATCTCACTATCGACTTCACTAACGGATTCACGATGAACCTTCCTATCGTCCTCACTATCGATCCGACTTTCGATCTCACTATCCATCTCGATGTCCATATCACTATTTTTCAAACCATCAACTGATTTAGGTTTTCTCTGGTGTGCATGAATTACATAGAACTCCGCATAGGCACATAAGAGTGAGGGGGCGGTGGGGATGTCGGCAATTTGCGAGACTCTGGAGAAGCCCGCCGCAGACGCCAAACTTTCACAAATTACACAACGAGCCCGCCGCAAACCTATATTTGTTCGTTAAACCAATGTGGGTGGGTCGCAAATAGGTCGCGGGTGGGTCGCTGTTGGGTCGCGGGTGTAGAGGGCAGAAAGTCCACCCCATAATAATCACCCCGACAAGCGAAGCCGTTTAGCAAACGCACACAACAGTGAATCGAAAAAGGGCAGGGCTGTTTGGTGGGTCGCGGGGTGGGTCGCGGGTGCGTCGCGGGGTGGGTCGCGGGTGGGTCGCGGGTGCGTCGCGGATGGGTCGCGGGGTGGGTCGCGGGTGGGTCGCGGAGTGGGTCGCGGGTGAGACACGGGTGGGTCGCGGGTGGCTCGCGGGGTTGGTCGCGGGTGGGTCGCGGGTTGGGTCGCGGGGTTGGTCGCGGGGTCGCGGGGTGGGTCGCGGGTGGGTTGAGGGTGGGTCGCGGGTGGGACGACGACAACAAACAACAGCAACAACAGCAACAACATCAACAACCCAATAACGCAACAAGCTAAATTCTCACAACGGATTCCCTATTCAGCCACGCACCCAGGAACAATGAATGATCGTTCAGCACCCTCTCTTGCATTATTCATAGTAGTTGAGTCTTCGGCTTATTCTTATCATTATGTTTCTTAACCTTTTGGTTCGTATCACCCCTCTTATGTAGAACCCCGCAACTGCGGATAGAGGGGACGGGCGCGGGGTGGGTCACAAGTGCGTCGGATGCAGATCGCCGTTGGGTCGCGGAGTGGGTCGCGGGTGGGTCGCGGGTTGGTCGCGGGTGGGTCGCGGGCGGGTCGCGGGGTGGATCGCGGGTTGGGTCGCGGGTTGGGTCGCGGGTGGGTCGCGGGCCGGGTCGCGACGACAAACCCTCGGTATCCGCCCCCTTCGTCTGCAATCATACCCCCCGTTTGGGGCATGTCTTCCTTACCTGTCACGCGCATGCAGTGCATCCCGAAGAAGAGCCGAAGACAGGGCGGATGGAAGGGGAGGGAGGAGGATGGAGCACGAGAGAAACTAGCAGGAAAGGGGCTGGGAACAGAAAACACGCGGCAAGACCAGACGGGCAGACCGGGCGGGCAGACTCTAGCAGGCGGGTCGGAAGGGCGGGCCCAGGCGGCCAGGTCAAGCAGGCGGGTTGCTGAAGAGTGAGTCTTGCATGAATCGAAAGGGAATCTCGAGCGACAGCGCGACTCTCAAAGAAACAATGAGAAAGGCCACAGCGAGAGCGTGATTCCTGAGTGTCGAGGGCGCGGCGTCTGAATACTTTGAAAGAAGTCCTACACGAGAGCGCGATTCCTGCATACATTGTAAGAGAGTCCCGCGGCGGGCCCCGCGTGAGAGCGCAATTTTTGAAATTAATTGTGAGGGGTATTTTTTTACGACGACATGGGAGCGATTACGGATGAAACTGGTTTCACAGGTGGGGAGTATCCACGTGTGGCGGGTGCGACCGCGCCAGCAACGCCGAAGCCCTGACTGGCACCGCCGTGCCCGCTAAAAGATTAGTGCATTCCTTGCTCGTCGCTGCAGTGTCCAACTGCCTCTTGCCTGCTGATTAGCATGGCCTGTCGCTACAGCGGTGCAGCTCGCATGACGCGGGCTGGCATGCGCTGTGCGTTGGAAGACCCTGAGGGCGGTTCTGAAGTGAGGCCTCGCACTGATCCAAAGCTGAGGTCTTACAGACAAACAAAATCCCGCTATGGCGGGCGACGAGAATGGGGGAGGGAAATGCTCCTCATCTCCTACTCCTCAAGGGTAGCAGGGAAGGGGAAGGAGTAAATAGGAGTCTAACTACGGCTCTGGACGATGGGGGCCTTGGGAGGGACCTCTCGGGGCACATCATGAACATAAAAATTCGGCGCCCTCCTCATCTGCGGCAAGATCGTGGGTCTGTACCTCAGGATCGGCATTATCTGATGGGAGGTCACCTGTCTGATGTGCGAGGTCCGTCTCGGGAGCTACTGCGGGCCTCACTGCAGGGATTATGCCGCCAGATACCAATCGTAGCATCCTGTCACTCGTCGGAAGTAGTCTAGCCATATCGATATTTCCTCCCCCAGCCAGTCCGCTGGGGGCTGGGTCCAGGTGGTGCTTCGCGTTCTCTTCTGAGCAAGGGCCAGCGAGCAAGAAGCCTCGGTCCTGCCAGTCCTTGGCGCCAAGGATCAGCTTGGCGGTGTTCGGGTCGTGGGTCTCATCGGCGCTCAGGAGGGCGACTTCGGTCTGGAGGGTCTCTACGTCGATCAGTGGTTCGGGCTGAGGGTCCTCTGACTGGCATTTCTCGAGGTACTCTTCGGTCTCTTTGCAAACTCGACCTCCCACTTCGCATGTACTTACGTTTCTTGGGGCCTGCTGTAGTGCCTGCATGAGGTCTGCTGAACTCGGCGACTCGTGAGAGGTCGCGGTGGCGGTGGGCTTCGGTGATTTGTTAGTCGAGAAAATGATGCCACCATGCCCGTTTCCATTGGGCATATTCGTGGAATCGGCGAGGGATGAGCTTGAGATAGCTGTCATCGACCGCCATGCCTTTGTCACGTAGTTGTGCACGTTCTCGGAGGAGTTGCTGTCGTATACGCTGATCATCTTTGACCCAAGCTGGATGTCCTCCATGGCGAAAATAATGTAGAATCGCTGCTTGCTGGACCAGGTATGCAGCGTGTGCTGCATGTCGGTCGGGAAGCTGGTCATGTTGGGAAACTCGGAAAGTATGTGCATGTTGAATGAGCTGCTGATGATGTAGGTCACGTCGAAATTCAGCGCGTCGGTACCCCGTCTGTAATCCTGCTGCCAGCGGGGCCCAGTCCCATCGTAGTGCATAGTCGATAGAAGATAACGTTGGGCAATAAATTGGACATGAATAAGCATTGGGATGTAATCGAACATGTGAGGAAGGACACGCAGGCGTTGATAAAAACGCCAGCATAATTTGAGCTTCGTAATAATAGGAAACGCATCAATCGGGCCGATCCAATAATCAATTCTGCTGCGAGCACCGCCATTGCCGAAAGAAGTCTGCCCAGTAATCCAGAATGTGTTATACGCGCAGAGCTGATTGATGATGGGTCTTTCGTGAACGGGCGTGCCTACGGTAGCCTCTGGGGCGGGCTGCTGTAGTTCGGTGCTGTCGTCCGTACATATGGCCCAATGACGACGTCCCATGCCTTGGTTGAGGTCGCTGAAAAA